GAAAATGAAGCTGGCACCAGAGGCTTTGTGTCCCTAAAGGCCTGTTTCCCCAGGCCTCCCCTATAGGACTTTGGGCCCTTGGGGAACCAGTGGGTGTGTGGTGCAGCATTCAGGGGACTCTCAGTCTCCCTTTATAGCCTTGGACCAAGGTCCTGTCCCACGCTGGCCTGTGACCCTCATGGCCTCCAGCCCCCAATCCCCAGCTTAAAATGAATCAAGAGCATCTTTTGTATTCCAAAGGCCAAAGGGCCAGGCTTGCCTTTAATTAAAATGCACATCCTTTAATTAAAGGCCCCATAACACATGAAGGGCATCACTGAAATACGACATGTGACATAGTCATTACCCCGCTGTTAATTACTAATTAATGAAGCTATTTCAATTAATAGCTTCCCCGCCACCACTCCCCCTTGGACAGGCCCCATGCTGAGGTGAGTCCCTGAATCACCCTCGAAAACTGGCTTCTTGCCAGAGACTCCCACCTGAATATTCATGACTCAACTTCACCGCTTTTCAATTAAACATAATAAAGTAAATCCTATCAAAAGTGTGTTTCTAGCTCACAAACCATCTCCTTTACTACCTTGCAGGAGCCACTGGGTGGGGGAGGGGCTGGCAGACAAGTGAACAGAGTACGCTGGGGACTTACCAAGGCTCTGCAGCCCAGGGCACCATCCCAGGTCTGATGGCTTCACCTAGAAAGCTGATGTCCAGGGGTTCCCAAGGGAACAAGTGGACACCTGAAGGCATTGTTATCCTACAGCTGAAGGACAATAGCCCAGAAAGAGGGAGACAGCCTAGAGATGTAGAGAGGACATTAACATACTAATTACGAATATTAAGCAGCCATTAAAGACCCTGATTTAAAGAAATGACAGGGAAGTCTCACCTAAGGTAACTAGGAGGGGGCAGCCCTGTACCTGAGCTGGAGTTAGAAGTGGGGGACCCCAGGGAGGTCTGCACAGGGCTTCTAGAGCCTGTAACCAGGCCAGCAACTTGAGAAGGCACAGTCTCAGCTGGGGGGACATTCAGCCAGAGGTAGGAGGGGCCGAGCCAGTTGATTCACGGAGACCCTAGGCATGATCAGACTGCAGGAGATGTGTTCACACCTCCAAACTCCTCTATAAATAATCTAACAACTGTCTCTCTTGTTCTAGATTAGATTCCCAGGCGCCTCATCCCTTAATGGGCCCCAGTGTGGGAGAAAGAGCCTCTTTTTTTTCCATGAAGGATTGTCCCCTGAGATGGCGGTTGAAGGTCTCCAGGACAGTCTACTAAATAAAGCCCCACATGCGCCCCGGGAGGACAGTTCTCACCACCAACCCAGAGCTCAACATCTCACAGTTACTCTTGCTCTGAGAGGAGGTGAGAACAGGTTCCCAGGGGCAGCGAAGTGCCTAGGATGTGGAGAAGAAGTTTCGAGAGGACAGGTGCTGGAGGACCACATTACAACGTCCTCGGGAGACTCTGGACCTGCAACCTCTCAGCTCAGGCCTTCTGCATCGATTCATCAAAGGTGGAGTCAGGAGCCACGTGTCCTCTCCTGTACCCACTGTGGATGTTCCAGACTAAGAGCGGGATACACTAGCCAATAAGTTCTCACCTGTCACACATCAGACTCCTACCCAGCACCCAACATGCCCATCCCAGCCCTGGGAAAGAATTGAAGACCTAGAGAATGTTTCTCTTGGCTTCACGTTTGTCTTTGCCTCACTATGAACTGGGCTTGACTTCTCCCTTGTTACTTCAAGTGCTCACAGCCCCTTCTCTCTACTATGCCGCAGAAGACCGCCCCCCCCCACATTGTGTCCTGAGAAGGACGCTAGGTGGCACCAATCCCCACAGAATCCTGAAGTTAACGCGGCCCTGTCCGGCAGTGCCCTCTGTCGGCCAGAGATGGAATGCCAATGGCTGTATGCAAGGCTGTGGGCTGAACAGACAAAAAACACTACCAAGACAAACTCACACAATCATGGCCACCCATGCACATTCATACCCACACGTGCTTATACAGGCTCTATTTCTAGGAAGCTAAAACAAGAGATGCTCTCCGAGTTTCCGGCCTATAGGAGAGAGGCCCCATCAGACCTCAACGGGAGCCCTGAACTAAGCCTGAAGCTTTAAAAACATGTTTCTAGAAGTTGAAGCAGGAGGGTCTGAGAGCCTGATGACTGGATCTGTCTACACAAGGCCAGACTAGCTGTGTTTAAGTGCAGGGCTGGGTAGGTGGACCCAGCTGGCTAGCCTGAGCTGGTAAGGGGATAGGACAAGGACAGGGAGAAGGAAGGGAGTCAAACGTCTCACTGCTTACTTACTCTGGTGTCTCTAGGGTCCACCCAGAGCTCCTGACACCTAATTACCTTTCTGTGAAGACCCTCTTCAAATGCAGCCTTATGTGATCACTGTGGGGTAATATCTGTACCTACCCTCCTCGGGAAGGCTCCCTCTTACCCCTTCGAAACTCCTCTGAAAGGCCTCCTGGCCATCATGGCCAAGACCTTCTACCCAGAACTCCTTGGGACAGCCAAAAGACTACAATATCCCAGTGACTGTTTCCAGATCTTGGAACTGTGTGGGGCAGGTTATGGACTTTTACTAAATGAACTCACAAAGGCAAGAACTTACCAGCAAACAAATGAGCCAGTTGACTCCAATGGTACTTAATGCCTCCTACTGCACTTTTAAAAATGCAAATTTTACATTACCTATGAACAGGAGGAGGAGGAGGAGGAGGAGGAGGAAGAGACTAACTCGAGGCAGGTTCTACCCCTAGAGCCTAGAGGATGGGACTGTATTAGTGTTTTCTTTCTTTCTTGTTAAATAAAATTTATTTTATGTTCATTGTTGTTTTGACTGCATGTATGTCTGTGTGAGGGTGATAGAAGCCCTTGGAACTGGAGTTGCAGACATGTGAGCTGTCATATGGGTACTAAGAATTAATTGAAGGTGGATCCTCTGGAAGATCAGCCAGTTTTCTCATTTCATCTCATTACTGAGGAAAATTAGGACAGGAATTCAAGGTAGAGATCTGGAGGCAAGAACTGAAGCAAAGTATACTAGCTTGATTCTCATGACAACTCAGGACCACCTGCCCAGGGGTGGCGTCACACACAGTGGGCTGGCCTCTCACATTAATCACTAATGAAATGGCCCCACAGGCTTGCCTACAGGCAATCAGATGGAGGCATTTTCTCAATTGAGGTTCCCTCTTCCCAAATGACTCTAAAATGTTAAATTGACAAAACGCTGTTCAGCGCAGGGGCCTTCTTGAACACGGCTCCCTGGCTTCAGGAACTCAACTATGGAAGGTTAAGGAAGCATAGCCTGAGGTTCCTAGGATGCTCCTCAGGTTGAACAATCAGTCCCCATCCTACAAGGCCAGGTTAGAGAGATAGCTCATTGGTTAAGAGCATTCCCTGCTCTTCCGGAAGACCCAAGTTTGGTTTTCCCACACTGGGCAGCTTACAGTTGCCTGTAGCTCCAGCTCCAAGAGATCCAATGCCTTCTCTGGCCTCCATGGGTACCCCAACACATGTGGCACAGAAACACGCGTGCGTGCGTGCACGTGCGCACGTGCACACACACACACACATCTTAAAAGAGTATTTTTATTCAAAATTGAAAGACCACAGAAGAAAGTTTGTGCTCATATGTCACTTCATGGCACATCTGGTTCAGGGCATCTTGCTCTGGAGATTTGTGCACGCTTTGACAGGAGTTATGTAGACAGGCGAGCAAACACTGCTGGTGCATCAGGACAGCAGTGAGGGGTCTAACCTATGCCAGTGCTCTGAGGCTCTCCTCATATCTGGCTGACACCCCGCTGCTTTCCTCGTGAGTGGATTGTAGAACATTCTCACCGCATGCTCATTCTTTTTAAAAAGGTAACTGTTTGTGTGCACATGGGCTAGCCTACACTGGTGCGTGAGCTAGCCCATGCTGGTGCATAAAGAGGCTGGAGGCAGACACAGATCTTTTCTTCTACAGTAACTCTATTTCTTTGAGTCAAGGTCTCTCACTACACCTCAAGTTCACCATTTACTCTAGACTGGATGGTCACTGTGCCCCCAGATTTATTGGGGTTACAGTGCACATCATTGTGCCTGGCTTTGGTATGTGGGTTCTGAGAACCCAAACCCAGGCCCTCATGCTGTTCAACAAGCATTTCACTCACTGAGCCTTCTGCCCTGCCTCAGGGGATGATTCAAGGGAAAGCTCTTCTCCGGGCATGACATGGCCATTCTGAAATGAGAGGAGCTTATGTCTGGTATGAGTCCCTCACAAGACTGAGTGCTAGCACTCCTTCACAGAGAAGAAGTCATGAGGCAGTTTAGCCATGTAAGGCCCCTCCCCTAATGACTGTTGGATGTAGAAGACTTTTCCTCTGTGGTATAGCCACCTGTAAGTTGCCCATGTTCCCGTAAATAACTCCAATTAAACTATTGGTAAACTGGGCTGTGGTGGCTCACGCCTTTAACTCACAGCAGGTGAGAGATAGAGGCAGGAGGATCTCCATGAGTTCAAGGCCACCTTGATCTACATAATGAGTTCCCAGTACAATGAGAGCTATACAGTGAGGCCCTGTCTCAAAAAACCAAAACCAAACTTATCAGTTCATCAGTTTGAATGGAACCATTTTTGTTTCTTTGCTTGGGTGTTTGGCTGGTTGGCTGGCTGGTTGGTTGGTTGGTTGGGTGGCTGGCTGGCTGGCTGGCTGGCTGGTTGGTTGGTTGGTTGGTTGGTTGGTTGGTTTGAGACGGAGTCTCTCTACATAGCCCTGGCTATCTTGAAACTATGTAAACCAGGCTGGCCTCACACTCAGAGATATTTCCCTGCCCCTGTCTCCCAAGTGCTAGGATTAATGGTGTGTGCTTCTGTGTCTGGCTATGTGAAACCATTTTCTGGTGCATCATTGATGATCTAAGTAGGGGTGAATAGAATTTTGTTCATCTCCCCAGGAAAAGTTCACATGACAAAAGATACTGAATAAAACAACAATCTTATCTTAAATAGTTTAATAGTTTTCACTTAAATAAGACTCTACCTATAAAGACTCTGCCCTATCTATAAAGAAAATCTAATAAGCATCTTGGAGAATTCATTATCAGCTCATGAAACCACAAGCTCTACAAGGAAAAATGGGGAGGTAGAAAAACAAGGCCAGAAGTGAGAGGGGGTTCCACCTTGTTCTGGGGTCTGTGATGTCTGGAGTGTCCAGGCAAAGCCAGAGGACTGCCAGGCACCTGCCAACCCAGGACACATCAGTAGTGCTGAGAGATCCACAGGACAGGAACTGGGGTCTGCAAAAGCAGCCAAGGACCTCTAGCCTACTGCACACTGGCCAAGCTGGAATGGCAGCCTGCCTTCTGGAGAAAAGCAGAAACCATGGCTTCCCTATGGTTTTGAATGGTGGTTCTAGTGAGCCTGTCTTACGAACGAGACATGGTCTAATGTCTACAGACATCTTAGGTCATCGTTATTGGAGAGATGGAGGTAGGAAGATGCCTGGAGTAGGTGGGGGGTCAGAGCCGCTCCTGGACATCTACCAGCACACAAAACATCCTTAACACGGAGCAATCTTGTCAGAGAAACAACCCTCATTGACTGGGGCTGGGGAGACCTCTCATCAGCAATGCGGCTTCCATAAAAGCAGCAGTCCCACTGAACCTGAGAGAGGGCAAAACTAGCAAGCAGACACGGAGCCATGACCCTCCTCCTGACCCAGGCCTGTGTGTATTCAGGCCTACCTATCTCTCCAACCCGTTTGGATTTCCCAGGAGACCCAGGTCTTATACATAGTTTCACTGACAGAGTTGTTGTCCTCAGGCTGCTGACATCGGGTCCTGGGTGGGACTAGATCGTCAGGGAGTTAGAGGTCCTCATGAGTGGGGAGCACGTCCACCCTCTGCGCCTTCCCAAACACCAGAAAGGTGCCCAGCCCCAGGTTGCTGATGATGGCCACCATGTGGAACACACAGGTCCAGGAGCCAGTAGTCTCAATCAGGTAGCCACCCAGACACACGCCTACCACACCTGGACAAGAGAGGCAGAGACTGACTGATGGTCCAGAGAAGCTGGCCCTCACACATCAGTGAACTCGGGGACAGAGCAGGGCAGAGTATAGATGCCTTGAAGACCCCGGGATAAAATTTGAACTCTGAGCTATGGGCCACAGGAGACATAGGCTCGGAGCAGGGTGGGGTGGGGGATTCTCAGGAGACAGAGTCCTCATGGGCCACTCCATGTCACATATTGATGGTGTCCCCATCCCGTGTCCCACCCAAGGAAAACAAAGAAGAAAGTAGAGCATGAGTTCAGGTACTCAGTAGTACCCTAAACTACAGGACTGACTGTCACATGGGGTCAGTCAGGGGAGAATGGCTTGTGAGTGCGTCCGCCACCATCAAGCAAGTCAAGTGGCACCTCGCAGGAATATCTGAGATCACCCTGGGCCATCTTGGGCCTTGTGTCCTACTTTGACTTTGAGACTCCATTCAGCAGCATGGGATGAGTCAGATGGGATAACCCCTGTCTAGGCCCCACCCTAAACTCATTTACTAGTTGACCCAAAACAAAGGACAAGACAACCTCTAAGCCAGCCCTTACCTGCTAAGGCCCCTGCAGTGTTGGCTACACCTGTGAACAGGAAAATGGGGGAAGAGATATCACAGGAAACCCATTGTTGCTCCTACAGTGCCCCACCCCACCCCCTGGGGATAACCCACAGTCAAAGGCAGGGGATAAAGCTGGGATAAGCAAGTGGCTCACCAAACAGGAAGCCAGCACAGGATGGGGCCAGGTCCTGAATGTTGACTGAAATACCACTGTGAGAAACCGGAAGGAAGGCAGGTGAGTGGCCACCGGCCTGGCTACCTCTACTTGGCCTGAAGTTGTTACCGGAGCATAAGAGATGATTATGAGTCACCAAAAGACATTCAGGCCAGCCCCCACCCCCCTACCTGCTAGGTACTGCTAGGCCTGCTTACTTGACATTGCTATGAGAGAAAAGGTGCAGAAGGAAGGAAACAGACAACATAGGGGCATCAAGTCTGGTGTTTATGTTCATTCTTCCTCCTGGCCCTCCTCCCAGTATTGGGGATGGGGAGGGTCTCCTTGATTCCTGAATGACCCCTGCTTGGTACCCGGATGCTCACTGTGACACACTGTGACAGATTATGGGGATCTTTCCTTAACCCTACCTTCATAGGTCCCTAAACCAGAATGTACTAAAAACTGGTGGATCCTTACCTGTGGTTGAAGGTCTGGAAGCCAATGGAAGCTGATGCAAAGATCATAGCCTTAAGGAAGCTTGTGGTATGACCCAGACACAGGGCAAAAATGCTTGACAGACCAAGGCCCATCACCTGCAAGACAGGACTGGTGAGGGTTCAAGAAGCCATCCTGGCCCATATGGCTCATCCAGGCTTGAACCCATATAAAGAACCCCTAGTGTTCTGAACAAGATCAGAGCAGTTCTACCTACAAACCCCTCCCAGGCTGGGGCTTCCCTACTCTACCTGCCCTGGCATAGAGAAGAGCAGAGAACATCTTCAGAACTCAGGTCTGACCCCAGAGCATCCTCCAGCAGCCACCTACAGTAGCCCCTTTCTGGGTCCTATTGCTATGGATTGACCTGATCTGAGCTGACTCTGCCAACACCTAGGAGCAGGTACTGGTTCTGGGGCCATGAGAACTGGCTGCAGCTTTCCTGGCCCATATTTTTGATATCAGCCTGGTTCTAGAAATCAGGGGATTAGAGTATACAACCCTCAGGTCCCAGGAGGCCAGAACAAAGTAGGGATGTCAGCCCGGCAGTGGTGGCGCACGCCTGTAATCCCAGCACTTGGGAGGCAGAGGCAGGCGGATTTCTGAGTTCCAGGACAGCCAGGACTATACAGAGAAACTCTGCCTCGAAAAACAAAACAAAAAACCAAAGTAGGGATGTCCATAGAGGGATGTAGTAGTTTGAATAAGAATGGTCCCCATAGGTTCATATATTTGAATATTTGGTCTCTAGTTAGTGAGGCTGCTTGGGAACGATTAGGAGGTGTGGCCTTGTTGGAGGAGGTGTGGCCTTATTGGAGGAGGTGTGGCCTTGTTGGAAGAGGTGTGGCCTTGCTGAAGGAGGTGTGGCCTTGGAAGAGGTGTGTCACTGAGAGTGGGCTTTGAGGTTTCAAAAGACCACACCATTCCCATTGTTTCTTTCTCTGGTTTGTAGTTGTGTGTCTCAAGATGTAAGGTCTCAGCTACTACTCCAAGCTCCAAGGTCATTCCTGTATGCTCCCCTGCCTGCTGGCATCTTCCCCATTATGATGGTCTTGGACTCCAACCCTCTAGAACTGGAAGCTCTAAACAAACTCTCGCTTCTATAAGCTGCTTTTCTCACAATACCTTATCACAGCAATAGAAAAACAAAATGAGACAAGGGAGTCAAATGATTTTCCTACCTGCATGAGCTTACGCACTGTGATGACTCTGTAACCTGAGCAGAGAGACACACCCAGGATGAGTTTCCCTCAGCTCACTCAGGTCCTCAGTAGAGTCCCGCCCACAGTCACAGAAGAGTAAATGGGGTACCCAGGGCAGCACTGAAGGGCTCAAGATGGGAGATTCCTTATCATAAATTGTACCCTCTTATGTACAGTATGTGTGTTGGAGGATTTCCTGTGGTGCTGTCTGGGTAGAAATATGGAAGGGTAGCCCCGTGGGCCACTACAAAACTTCCAGCTTTTAGGTAAGCTTAGTCCTGATTCTTTCAGTTTCATCAAATTTTCTGATCTTGCACAATGAATATGTGCTACTTTCTGTTGAGGAAAACCTGTATCCTGAGAATGGGCACACATGTGCATTGCCTTCTATACCTGAGTCTGTAAGGACACTGGTTCATGGGGCTACAGTATGCTCCTGGAGCTCTGGAAGATTCAGAGCAAGTCTGGGTACCTGTGACATATGACACGGACAATCGCTTTCCTTTCCCCATAGGGGTCCAGGATTATGAGAATGCACAAGACTCGGATCTTCTTGCTTTCCCCAACTCTACCCATTAAAGGGGAGAACAAGGAAGATACACTGGGATCCTTGGGTTGACTCTAAAGGATGGTCTGTGTGCCACAAGATAGTAGCCTTTCCCTCGTGACATAACTGTACTGCCAGAGGGGAGCGAGATTCTTGAGACTGCGGTTCACCCAGGACAATTTACCCCAACACTCACCCTGACTGATGAGACGGTCAGAAATGAACCCACTGAAGAGACTGGCAGGGATCGCCAACAGCCAGGGGACTACATTGAAGACCCAGCCCTGCAGGAAGAGGTGCAGCCTCAAAGGTGGCCAGGGTGGCAACTAGCCTCTAGATGACACCCAGGCGGGAGGACCACTCCAGGATCATCACCATGTCAGCTGAGCTCTGTCCACCCACTGGCTGGGCCTAAGAGCAGAGGGTCCTCGAAGAACAGGCCCTAACCAACCCATTATCAGCCCTCCCTCCCCCGGCAAGAACTGAGCCCACTAATAGCTAACTCCTGAGGCCACATTCTCCACGTGCTCCCTTTATTGTGACAGGGTTAGAGCCAGGCCAGTCTGCCTGAGAATGCACAGCCCAAGGACTCCAGTGTTCACATCACAGGTCACCCTTGGATGTGGCATCAGCAGATCAGCTAGCTGGCCCTAAGAGAGGCGACCTTTCAGCAGCAGGTCAAAGTCTTGGGCTGAGGTAGCTACAGCTCTCATCAAATACGGCCTTGAATTGATGTCTGTTCCCAAATGGACTGTCATCTCCAGGCCTGAAGCCCATAGGGTGATAGAGTTGCCAAGCCAAGGATGCAACCACCCATATGGGGGCCTTTACAGCCCAAGCGTAGCCCCTTCACCCTGTAAGGGCCCAGGTAGCATGACACCTACCTTGGAGTTGGGGAAGGTCTCCTTGAAGAAGGTGGGTAGCCAGGAAAGTAGAATGAAGAAGGAGCAAGCTGAGGACAACTGAGAGCAGATTGCTGCCCTAGGTGGGACACCAGGATCAGGGCTCTAGCCAGTGGCTAGTATCTCTGACACTGCCTCCATATGGGACCCACACCTTCCCCCGCCCCCCAGGACACCAAGGCCCTATGCTCTAAAACCTGGGGCATTTGCTGGAGTGTCAGGACTGGGTCCTGCCAAGCATAGCCAGCTCCATGCAACATTGGCTGACATGCCCCAAGCCCTGTCCTCACTCATGCTCTGCCTGGCCATGCCGAATGTAGCTCACCAGACAGAGGCCTTCCGGAAGAGTTGTCTCCAGGGCACTTTGGAGGGCCTGGTCACAGGTAGGCCTTGTGCCAGGACACCCAGGGCCAGGACAAGGTCTAGGGGAACAAACGATTTCAAAGTGAAAACTTCAGTACCAGGTACACCAAGTTGTCCCTAACACAGCAGACATTTAGGAGGTGCTATGGCAGAGGGGTCAGGGTGCCTCTCACTAATCCTTTGGAGTGCCTACCAGGTGGCAATTCTCATGAGAGTCAAGTTCTATGTCGAACTCATGCCTGTGCCTGGAGTCCCTTAGAGGCCCCTTCTTGCTACCTGAAGACTCAGCCTCGTCCTACCACCTGCCTTCACCTGTTAGACTCCCTGTGTTAGCTTCAGCCCAACAGAACAGAATGCAGAGCTGGGGCAGGCAGGAGGTTCAGCTCTTGGGTTCTTAGAGCTGGTTATAATTATCTTCACCAGGCAGCGACAACTACTCAGAAAAATACCTTCAATAATGGAGTCTACCTCGCCTGAGGTTCCAGCCTTTCTTGCCTGTGCTGTATGTAGTATGGCCCCAACTACATGAGGCTTGGGAAGTTAGCTGTAGGGAAGTCATTACCATCCCTGTGGTGTTGAGACTAAGCTATACTTGAGCGGAGTCGTTTCTTTGATCTGCTGTTGGCGCCCTGTCTGGGGTGAATAGATGTTCATTCGCTGTCCCCAGAAAAAGTTTATGCAACCGATGTTTGCACCACAGCTGCAAGGTGGAGGAGGCAGAGGGACTGGCCAAATGGCTGCAGTTACCTTTCTCATTCAGCAGGTACCTGTACACGTAGTACACCCAGAGCAAGGTGAGGCCGCCTGAGAAGTAGAAGACACTCTGCCAGCCACACTGGTCCAGGAGCACAGAGCCTACGCCCCCAGTCACCAGGGTCCTGGGAGACACAGAGAAGTACTGTAGTGACCTTGGTTGCTATCCTAAAATGAGTCCAGCTCCCACGGAGAGAAGCCACTCAGATGCTCCTGCCTGGAGGATTTTGCTTTTCAGGGAGACTGGGTTGGGGTGGGGGGGAACAGTTGGGGCTAGGGGAATCTGGGAGCAGCTGAGAAATTGCTGCTGAGTTTCTCATTTCTTTCTTCTAGAACTTCAAACTGGCCTGTAATTTGTCATGTGGATGCCTCTGTGTGTGTGTGTGTGTGTGTGTGTGTGTGTGTGTGTGTGTGTGTGTGTGTTGGGGGGGAGGGAGGGAGATGGGGAGGAAATGATAAAAGGGTAGCTTAGGAAACACTGAAATAAAAATATTCCTTCTTTCATTTTCCCCCTCTATATAACACAGAGGATAGTCTTCTAGCAAAGCTTCTGACATGCAAATGCATAGCTGCCAACACCAGGCCCCACAACCTTCACCTTGACTCCAGGGTACTGTGGTCCCAGATGCAATGCAAAGCACCTCTGCCTCACCCTTCAACCCGCCACCCATCACTCATCCAAGCGAGAAAGAGAAAACACTGGGGTCTGGTGTGAGACTGAGCTGCCTTCCCTCTTCCTGTGCATTCATCTGTACCCCAGGCATGGCACCCAGGGTTGGACCTATCCTTGGCTGGGGTACGTTCTCTCCCACTCTTCCTGGCTATGCGCAGAACCATCTGCTGTGCAGGATACCAGAAGTGGGACTGAAGACATATACTGAACCCTTCCTTCCATAGAATCTGAGCCCTATTGTTACGTTGACATCCACATTTCACAGTGCAAAATGTGTTTTCAGTGTTAGACCAGGCCACCCTAACCAGGAGAGTTAGCCCCTTCTGTGGGCTGTGGGCGCTCTTTGCAGCTCCCTCGCTCTTCCCCTCCCCAATCTGAACTCAGCAACAGTAGACCTATGACTGAATGCATCAGGAAGTCCATTTAACCTTCCAGAAGCCCACCAGCGGGTGGCCCTTCCTCCATGCATAGGGATGTTTCGCAGAGGGTGGGGCAGACTCTGTATCCCCTAGGACAGATGAAAGGGAAAAGATAAAGCAGGTGCTCACCCACCCAGTCCACATGCCAGAACCCTATCTTACAGCACCAAGAAAAACAAAAACACGCTGATGGTTAGCCTTTACTGACAGCGTGAGAAGATTTAGAATCACCATAGAAACACACCTCTGGGAGTGTTTATAAAGATTTTTTTCCAGAAAGGTTAAACTGAGGAGAAAGAAAAAGAACTATCCTGAGTGTTAGCAGCACCAAAACATGGGTTGGGGTACTGGACCGAATAGAAGGGAGAAAGTGAGCCGGCATGGTAGCACACACCTTTAATCCCTGCACTCAGCAGAAAGAGGCAGGGGTCTCTGTGAATTCCTCCTCCTCCTCTTCTTCCTCCTTTTTCTCCTCCTCCTCTTCTTCTTCCTCCTCCTCCTTTTTCTCCTCCTCCTCCTCTTCCTCTTCTGAGACAGGATTTCACTGTGTAGCCCTGGCTATCCTGGAACTCACTCACCTGGAACCAGAATGGCCTTGAACTAACAGAAATCTCCCTGCCTCTGCCTCCTGAGTGATGGGATTAAAGGGGTGTGCCATCATCCTTGGCAAATCCTTTCTTCTTAATCTGTTTCTTGTTGTGGATAGCTCTGGTGCTGTTTGCATTTTGATGTGAATTCAGCTCCCCCAGAGGAGCTGCCTGGGGTGAGTAGTGAATCCTGTACTCAGGACTTCACATGACCCTTCTAATGAATAAAGAAACCAATCACTGGGCAGCAAATATGTGAGAGAGGAAGAGAAGAGGCAGGAGAGAGATACAGATATGGGGTTTTGAACAGGGACAGTGGGAGGACAAGATGTAGTTACTAATGACCCCCGATTTAGATAACACCAGAGGATTTAGATTTATTATGGCTTACAAAATTAGGATTCTCTGAACTAAGTCTATGTGGTGTTTTCCTTCAGGTGACGGCTCAGCTGGGTTCCAGAGAGAAAGGCGGCAAGGTGTGGGTTTGCCAGAAGTGGATCCCAAAAGGCTGTGGGAATTTTGAAATATGGGGCTGGAAGGTAGCAATCTGCCAGTGGGAACTTAGTGAGCGGTGAGTCAGTCTCCAAGAAGTGAGAACAGGCCGGCCATGCCTGCCAATGCCCGGAAGGCCAGACCTATCCCCGTCAACCTAGCGTGAATTGCAACAGTTTCTTGTCATTGTTTTGTCTCAGCAACAACAGTAGGTAAAACACTTTCACAAATGCAGCAGACTTGAGGAGCAGTGACCATCCTTTGGAACCTAGCACTAGCCTACACCTCTACTCGGACCTGAAGGATGGACCTTGAAAGCTCAGGTAAAAGCTTCCTGAATGACAAGGAGGTGGAGCCTTACCCGACCTGGGAGCCAGCACCCACAGTGCTGTAGGTAAAGGCTCTCTCGCTCTCCTGCACTCTCTGGGACAGCAAACTGGTCAGGGCTGGAAAGTAGACACCTACAACAAGCAGAGATTGCTATCATAGAGTACCCAGTGACAGTCAGTGAGGGCTAAGACTTGGGTTTGGGCTATAAACCCAGAGGACATCCATGTCTTTCTGTTACCTCACTGGGCTTTGAAGGATCAGCAGGGCTGGGCTTTTGGCAATATTTGGGTAAGGAACCAAATTAATTTAGGATGCGAGTTATACGGAGCGATGTAAAACATCCCCTGGAGAGCATTCTGCTTCAAAGCAAAACGCCTCTACCCCCGACATAGTACCTTGCATCTAGACTGTTGTCCATACATACATAAACACATATGCCCTACATCAGCTCCCTGGAGGCACTTGACAACCCCCCCCTCACTAGCACATTTATGTGTACACACACAGACTACACTATAGCTTTTCAGGTGTGCTCTGACACCCTGAGACACTCACGTATGTGAGCCGTACACTTCTATTTGTTTGCCATGTACATACATGAAACATGTATACCCTTCTGGGAAAGTTCCTATACCTACTCTTTTTAGACACACTTTCCTCCCAGGAGTTCCTTTGGTTTCCAGGCAGCTTGAAAGCTTAGAAACATCTGGGCATACACCTTTAATCCTAGCACTTGGGAGGCAGAGGCAGGCAGATTTCTGAGTTTGAAGCCAGCTTGGTCTACATAGTGAGTTCCAGGACAACCAGGGCTACACATAGCGAGACTCTGTCTCAAAACAAACAAACAAACAGGCTTGAGGGTTCTAAGCCTCAGTCTGAAGAGACTCTTGAGAGGTCCCTTCAGAGTGTGACAATAAGAACCTATAGCTTACTTGCTGTTACCACTGTCTGTGGGAACACAGGAATCACCAGCCTGACTCCCTTGTGGAACTTTATATCACCATGTCAATGAATGGGGCTCTTCAGAAGGCGGTTCTTGTTCCTTGAGAACATGGGACCTGGGGCTTCTCCAGAGACCAAAGACCCACCACCCTTTGAAGGAGAGCCATAGGCTTCAGGGACTTCATCATTTACTCTTTGCCCACAAAAAACACAGATATGACAAGGTACCTCTCTCCCAAAATCCCTGCCCTGAGTAAGTTGTCATTCAAATAAATATCTCAGATATATAGAACAGATTTTTGAGCAAAGGGGAGCACACAAGGCATGCAGGTGCGCATGTCACTCTGTCCACCCTTTCTGGTGGCAAGTTCAAAAGGCAACACCAGAGAGAGAAAGATGAAGTTGGCGCTTACCTTGGAGTAAACCCGTGAGGATTCGAGAGAATGTCACGAAGGCCAGGTGGCCGCTGCCGAGGTGGGCAAGCAGTGGTGTGGTAACAGTAATGAAGCCCCAGGCGGTGGCTGACAGCAAGATGACCTTCTCACCTCCGATGCTGGAGGAGACACAGGGAGGGACAGGATGGGGTGGCTGTTTGAGAGGGTCTGAGGAGCATCATCGTGAACCACTACACAGAGAGCTGTGGTAGACACTGAAGTGACCTGCCCTATAGAAGGGCCCAGAGCTTAGTATGGTATACAGGACTGAGTCTGGCCTGTCTGCTTCATGTTTTTTTATATGTACCACCACAGAGCTACCACACCCGACCTCTCCCCATGGCTAAGCCTCTCCCCAAATATTTGTTGAACTCCTCTCCTATCCACCCCTCCTGTCCTGTGTGCAAGGGTGGGATTGACCACACTGTGTCAGGTGATGGCTTTGTTCCCCCTCAAGCCTGAGCAATGGGGGAGGGGGTTGGTTACCGATCCCCAAGGTGGCCGCCCACCACCTGTGTCAGGCAGTAGCCCCAGAAGAAGCTGCTGAGCACGATACCAGCCTCCTTCTTGTTCCAGCCAAAGTCCTGGCTCATGGCAACAGTACAGACGGGCATGGTGACACGGGTGCAGTACAGCAGGCAGGTGCCCAGGAGCAGCATCCCTGTCCATGCCTGGCATTCAGGCCTGTGAGATACAGAGAGAGGGTCAGGACCTGGGGAGACCCACAGACAGCCTTAATCACTTAGATACCTTCCCAAGGGCAGGAGAACTTAGTCATGAATACAATAAGAAAGTGAAGATAACGTCTTTGGCGGGTATTTCGGCAGGTTGATAAACCTTTGAAAGCACTGAATCTGATGACTTCTAGAACATAGGCCAATACTAAACACAGCGGCTGAGAACGGCACAAGAGCCCTCGGGACGTGAGGCAGGTTAAACACATGGCAGCCCATTCACAGGGCTCAGAGCCCGGGCCCATGCCTCCGGCTGCCAGGATTATACCAGGATCCCAAATATAAGCATTGCACATATTCTCAAGTTTTTCGTAGACCATGGAGATACAGGAAGGAATCCAGAAATAGCAGACAGCTCACAACCTGCAGGGTAATGTGCTAAAGCAGGGGAACCCAACTCAGGGGAGAAGAAGGCTCCCAAGTGTGTGTAGAACTTCGGGAGAATTTTCCATGAAGGGATTTGGGCTGGGCAAGGTTGCTCGGCAACTTGAGTGGGATTTAGTGCATAGCTGACAGTGGAGAGGCAAAGAGCCTCAGAGGGGAAGAAGCAGACCCTGGCAAGGCTTCCAACTAAGAAAGGAAGAGTGAGGTTTGTGGCCTGGGGCCAGATTCATGCTTCCTTAGAAGAGCTTTGAAGATAATAACTTCCTGGTATATTCAAGGTTACACAGTAGCCTGGTGGGTGGGCTTAGACGAATGGGAGGGTAACAAGCAATGCTCTCTGTCTCTCTGTTGCCACCCACTCCCCATCTTACTGTGCAGACTAGACTAGAATAATGGAGCCTAGGGTGACCTCAGACTCAAAGCAACCCCCTGCTTAAGCCTTCTGAGTGCTAGGATTACAGATGTGAGGTACTCTAGCCTCCTCCTCCTCTTCCTCCTCCTCTTCTTCTTCCTCTTCTCCTTCTCCTCCTGTTCTTTTCTCCTCCTCCTCTTGTTGTTTGAGATAGGGTATCTCTATTTTGCCCTGGTTGTCCTGGAGCTCACTATGTAGACCAGGTTGGCCTCAAACTCACAGAAATCCTCCTGTCTCTTCCTCCTGAGTGCTGGGATTAAAGGCATATGCTGCAAGCTTCTTAAGCATTCAAGTTTTGGATTAACATTCACCTAGAGAGTTCTGCTGACAGCAGGATCAGACAGTGAGACAGGAAATCTGATATGCCCTCCAGACAGACCGGCCTCATCTATCCTGGCTCTTCCTTTTTTTTTCCTTCTTTTCTTTTTTCTTTTTTTGGTTTTTCGAGACAGGGTTTCTCTGTGTAGCCCTGGCTGTCCTGGAACTCACTCTGTAGATCAGGCTGGCCTCAAACTCAGAAATCCACCTGCCTCTGCCTCCCAAGTGCTGGGATTAAAGGCGTGTGCCATCACTGCTCGGCCTCTGGTTCTTCCTTTTCAACAAATTTGGCAATCAACAATTTTAGGAAAACCAGTGATGATGAACAAAATGGTCTGGACACTATTAGTGAGTTTGATCACATATACTTAGACCTAAGGTCCACATTACCTCCTTTCCCTGAGCCTGTAAAGATCCTAGCCCTCTACTAGGGTGAGAGATGTTTCTTTTTTTCCTTTTCTTTCCAGTGCTGGGAATCAAACCCGAGATCTCATGCTTGCTAGACAAGACTCAATCAGTCATTGAGCCATGTCTCTAGTGGGAGGGATTTGAGATTTGTTCTCTTGTCTCTGTGTATGGTCATGTGGCAAGCAGCTTCTCTTTGGTAAAAGCTCATTGTTTTGAGTGCCTAATGTAGTGTGTGGTAGACAAACCTGGCCTGATTTTTGCCACAGTTGGACTGCAGAGAATGGCTCTTGGCTCATGAGACCCTTCTCGTTGACACCTGGTACAACAAATATCAACATGGATATTACACACAGAGCTGGCCAGTCATCAGCCACCAGAATGTCCACGCTGACTCACAGATGGTGGTGAGCAGACCATCCATGTAGGGCAGCAGCAGAGAGTACAGGTGGGTGAGCCTGGGGATTCTGCGTTGTAACTATCCTCATGATGATTCTACAAGGAACTTATGGTTCAGATTTTTAATATAAAATGGGTTTGAGCACAGTCATACAGTTGGGGGCTTCTGGAGAGGTGGGTGCTCAATACAGTTCTGAGCCAGGAGAAGGAGGGAAGGTTTGAGGGAGAATGTCGTCTCTGGGAGGGGGCAGGCAGAAGGGTAGTATGACTAGACTGAAATCCTTTGGAAGTGGGCAGGTAATATTAGTCTCTCCTCTACATAGGCACAGACCAAGCAGGGAAGAGGCAAACTAGCAAATAGCCAGCTAGGGTATAAGAATTGGGGGACCCAAGGCTGCAGAACCTTGGGGCTGGGTCCAGAACCCCATAGTCTTAGACAAAGTCACAGGCAAATAGGAGCAGAGTCAAAGGTGAGGGCCAGGAGCCAGAAAGAGTAGCTAAGTCCAAACAAAATGGCACAGAGGAGACTTGAGCCACAAGCCAGGAGCTCAAATTGGCTTCCTGTTTCTAACTGGTCTTCTCCTGACAGTTAACAGGGTTGACAATCATAGGTGCACCTAGGGAAGAGTGACATTCTGGGTGGGTCCCTCTTGGACACCGTGACTCTCTGCTGCTTTAGTCACATAAAAGAATAAAAGCTCCTGTCTGCCTGCTCTGATCCTTGTGCCTCCCAGTCAGGCAAAACAAGGCAGCTGTACTGTCCTCACCTAGGGGTAGGCTTCACGGGTGGGGTGGCACTTCAGGGCAGTCAGGGTACCTGTGTCTAGCAGGGGAATAAAGTGGCATGAGCCTTGGAGGGCATTGGTCAGAACAGAGGAGGGTAACAGTGAGCCAGGTTAGGTGGGCTCCAGGGGACTCCCCCAAAAGATGTGTGGGGCCTTGAGGGCCAGCAGCAGGAGTCCCCAGACTATGGTTCCAAGCGCTTTCCAGTCAGGTCAGGGAGGTGGAAAAGCTCTGAGGTCTGCTTTGGTAATGGCCAACCTGGTTCCACTGTGTGGCAAGGAGCCTCTGAAACCCAGAGTCAGGAGGGAATCTCCTGAGTGGGTCCAAGAAGGACCAAGCCCTCTGATACCTATCGGGGGACCCCAGGCACTGGGGAGGGCAGCAAGCTTACCCAGATCCCTGCTAGTAGAGGGGAAGACTCAGGGCTCAGGCTTCTCTCAGGCTGGGATCCCCAGACACTAGTCAGAGATGTCGGTTATGGGTAAGCTAGCAGGTAGGAAGGGATTGTATCTGGCAAGACTGCATATGGAAGCTTATTAGTCTGGGAAGCTTATTAGTCGGGAAACTGCCAGCAGTTGGTTCAAATGGGGTTTTCTCCCCTTTAGCTGGAGTCCTCCCCTCCTTGGTTTGACAGAACTCTTCCGGCAAGAGCCCAGCACACAGGGAAACCCTCCCCTCCCCCATTCTGCTTATATTTCTTGTCAGGGTGTTGTCCTGAGCCAACACTGCCATTGGGTTACTGGGAACATAGGGTGACACACTCAGGGGTACCCCGACTGCCCTGACTGGGAGACACAAGGATCAGAGCAGGCTCACAGGAGCAGCACTAACTCACCCACTAAGAGCCACACAATCCAAAGGTATCTGTAATAAGGAGCTTTTATTCCTTTATGTGACTAAAGCAGCAGAGAGTCACGGTGTCCAAGAGGGACCCACCCAACATGTCACTCTTCCCTAGGTGCACCTATGATTGTCAACCCTGTTAACTGTCAGGAGAAGATCAGTTAGGAACAGAAAACCAGGTAGACCCACACCCTCCAGATGAGAGTTGTCTCTAGCTTCCTGGTAGCCATTGGAAGTCAGGAAAAAAACTAGGCAACCAATGCCCTGACAGAAGGAGCAGGAGGGGGCTGGGCCAGGTGGTATCTGAGTGAAAATGAGGCCATGACAGCTCCTAGGTATAGATGAGGAAATGGGTTTTATTGTAGTTATATGAGTACAGCTAGAGGCATCTGGAAGGGTCCAGACTGAGCATGGCCAGCAGAATAGAACGGGCCATGAGAGGAGAGAGAGAAGGGGACTGCAAGAGAAGAAGGAGGGGGGGGGAGAGAAAGAGAGAGAGAGGACAAGAGAAGGGACCAGGAGAGGGAGAAGGACCAAGAGAACGCATGGCAGAAGATGTGAGGTTTTAAAAGAAACAGAAGCTGAGTGAGGGAGGAGGAGCAAAGCTCAGGAGCTGGAGAGGCCTGGAGTAGAGGTGGTGCCTCAGGGTGGCCAATGTCCTCTTTGATATGCTAATAGGCACCTCTGTAGCCTTCTGCTGCATCCCAGCACCCTGGAGGCAAGAAACAGGCCTTGTCCTTCAGCTGGGTGGGTACCAGACAGGCTAATGAAGATACATCCTCACTACTCGCTGGTGGCACAGAACATGGCCCTCCTCCCGGAGGGACCCTATGGACCTGCTTGCCTGACTGGTTAGAACCCCAGGTCCAAGAGCCCCCATTTTGATGAAAAGTCTTTAGGATCAAGAGCTTGGGCCAAGACTGCCTGAAAAGCTCCACTTGCCCACGCGGAGCCAGAGCTCAGGCTGGATGTCTGGGCAAGCATACTTCCTCACAGAATTGTACAGCTTTGACTTCCTGTTAGATGGCTTGTGCAGAGTATCCGGGGCTGAGCAAACAGGTGATCACGTGGCCCTTGGTTCAGAGGGGAAATGTGCTGGCAACCGTGGCCTGGGGTCCAGAGTATATTCAGTTACTGGTAGCTCTCTAACTCAGCCTCTACCAACCACCCTACACTCTAGATTTGTTCGGGAGAACACTGTCTCCCAAACATGAAGTGGTGGTGGGTGGTAGACCCTAGAGTCTGGTGTTCCCCGAACTCTGGTGCCCTGCTCTTGGTTGTTTTTTTTTTTTTTTTTGAGACAGGGTTTTTCTGTATATCCCCGGCTGTCCTGGAACTCACTCGGTAGACCAGGCTGGCCTCGAACTCAGAAATCCACCTGCCTCTGCCTCCCAAGTGCTGGGATTAAAGGCGTGCGCCACCACTGCCCGGCTGGTGCCCTGCTCTTAATAACAGCATTTATTGCTGTTACTATCATTCCCACATGAGTCGATAATGGCCTTGACCCTGCAAAACTCCCCCAGAATTCTCAGTCACCACTTTGCCAAAGGCAATTGGAGACACTACACAGGAGAAACAGTAAAGACAAGTGCCAGGCAGAGCCATTAAATTGTAACCTACAGCAAAATTGGCAGAACATTTCATAGCTCTAAGAAAGCCCTGGGTGGTGCCTCCAGGGGCCAGGTGAAGCACAGGTCTTGGGATAAACATGGGGTAGGGAGGGAGGTGTAAGCCAGAGAGGGAAAGAGAGCTAAGTGAGGGCAGGCACAGAGTGCTCCTCCTCTGGCAGAGTCTGACCCTACTGTAATTGTCACTGGCGGGGCTATGATTTGGTCCTGTGCCTCCCTGTGACCTGCTGTGCCTTCATCTGGTCTAGGTTCAGTGGTGGTACTCTCTTACTTCCTGTCAGTAAGATCCAGGGTTCTCGCCCCGGGTGACCGAGAGGTACCAAGGCTTGACTCTGGGCCCTGGGTCTAACACTTCCACCTGAAGACCACAGGAACCAGAACAGGGTTTGAGTTCTTTTAGGTTCCCATTTGAACCCTCTCACCATGGAACCGTAGCCAGATGCCACCTTTGCTCCTGGTTTCTGGGGGGGTGGGGGGCTGCTTGCCTGGAGAGCAGTGGAAACGGAATATGACTGAGGATGGGTGATGGCTGTTTTCTTTCCTAGTTTATAAGACTTGTGATCTCAGGCCCTGCCTTTGTGACTTAGAGTGACGCATAGATTCCTATGCTGTGAGCATCTATGCTCCCAATGCAGGGAGCTCAGGTCTCCCACCAAGCCTCACAGACACTAGACCTCAGAATCACTGGCACGGAAAAGGGCAAAGAAGCCATTTGCCAGATCTGGGCATTCAATTGGAAATGGGAGGAGGGGTCCCTTTACTGGGTCGAGCATCTGTGTCCTCCCTCAACTTGGGGGATAGGGCTGCCCAGGGAGGGGCATGGGAGTCCCAGGAGTGAAGGTGGCAGGCAGCATAAAGGCTGGGAGGCAGCCGCTATAGTCTGGTGTTCCCTGAACTTAGGTCCTATGAAGTAGCACCTCAGCTCCCTTTCTAAACGTGAAAGTCCTTCCTTGGCCCAGCCTCACCCACACCCCAATTCACCTGGACCACCGTGTATCCTCTGCTGCAACAGAAGGGGTCTTGCGGGTCTCCTCTGGGATTGACTGCATCAGGCTAGAGCGCTGGGATGGCATTGGCACCGTTGTGTACCGTGCCCTCCCACCTCAGACCTAGGACAACCCACAGGGCAGTACCGCCCAAGTCCACGTGTCAGTCCCAGTGCTTCCGTCTAGCTCTCCCAGGACATATTGCCCCCGGAATTGAGTCCCCGCCCCACTGATGTCCCGGGAGGCTGAGCCAGGGACCTTCCAGCAGCCAGAGGCTTACCACTGGGACTTCCTACTGGGGAAGAGAAATCCCTGGGGATTGTGGCCCCAGACCTGCCAGAAATAACTTTCTCGTCAGAAAAGTGAGCAGTGTGAATGAGAGTCTCTGTGGTGCTCTCTCTCCTCTTTCCCTCCTCCTCTTCCTCCTCCTCCTTCCTCCCTCTCTCTCTCTCTCTCTCTCTCTCTCTGAGGTGGGAGGGCAGAGGCGCGATAGAAGTGCTCACAACTTGTGTTCTAGTCTAGTAAAGATTAGGGATCAATCGGTAATGAAATGCAACGATAGTAAAACTTTAAGGCAGTCAAGTTTAAAAATGGATCTCTTGGAGCAGAACTGGGTTAGAGAGAGAACTGTAACACAGGCACAAAGGGCAGTGAAGGTAGTCATTGACCTCAAAAATCCTAGAAAAAGGTATTCTGAGCGCTGACCACAGACTAGGCTCTAGGGTAGGTCTCAGCCACACTGCAGGAAGGCTTTTGAGGCTCCTTCCTCATACTGCCACATCCCTCCTCTATTCCCAGTTCTAAACAAAGGCCTCCCCCATACAGCTGCAGGCCAACTGGGACACACCCACTAAAGGCTTCCCACTGCATTTATAATCTCCTCAGGCTCCACCCTCCAGACTGCCTTCAACAGCCCAGTAGGCAATAGGTCTTCATGGTCATACACATTTGTACTAAAAGAATATTAGGACCCAAAGCTCAGTTATTAAGCATGTGCTCAGCGTGTGTGTGAGGCTCTGGACTCAATCCCCAGTTCTGAAAAATATAATCTGTACTTAAAAGTTAAGTCAGTTTTCCATCCACATCTGATATCCTGTAGGACACAAAGATAACGGCAGAGAAAGGCTTGCTTCCCTAGTGACCCAGGGACTGCCTGTAAGTATATGGTACTAATAATCACTGTAACAAGAAGCTCTTGTCAGAAACTGCCTATGAAAGATCCAGAATCACACATCAGGAAACCTTTAGCGTTTCTTCTTGAGTGGTCACTGTTCTGGAAGCGGGTGGATGTAAGTAGAAAAGGGATGTTACCTTACATAGGTTGGGTGGAGGAGGAACCCCAAGACACATGAGGTCAGCAGGAGCATACCATATCAGGTGTTGGGAATACATCTCAGGCCAGAGCCTTGCAGCAGGGTGGATATGCTACATAGTCAGAGTTGAATAGGCTGTGGTCAGGGATTGGGGGCACTCCTCCCCAGGCTTCCAGTCACTAAAGCAGGAGGTATGGGCGCAGCCAGAGTAGCCTGAAATAGGATTACATATGGCTGGGAGGAAGTCACCACCAGCTGTGGGCAGTAGCTGGGATGGACATTCTTTCTCTAGGCTTCCAGTTGATATTTGTGAGCTACCCCATGCCCAATTGACAAAACCATCTTTGCAGTTTGGGATGGAAAATTTGATGTGGAAACATTGGAATGGCAATGTCTGGCAGAGGGGCCATACTTTCTTGTGATGATCGACTCGCTTGCTGCTTATACTGTCACCCTGATTTTCTTAGATCCTTGGGTTATCCTAATGAGAAGTGAGGCAGCATGGGTCCAAATGACTGGGATCACAAATAAAAGCAACCCCTAGAACCTATCCTAGGCCTGAGTCTCCTCCAAGACTCCACTTAACTCCCACCTCCTCTGCAGCCCAACAGCTCTAAAGCGGAAATGTTCAAATAAACCAAACAGAATAATTAGATTTTACTCCACTGTTACTGACAAGCAACTGTAAGAAATGAGACTTCAGGAGCCAGATGTAGTGCTGGATGTCTGTGGCAGTTATGGCCAGACTGGGCTACAAAGTAAGACCCTTCCTGGAAAGGAGAAAAAAAGATTTTGGTACTGAACATATTTGCATTCACCTTCTAAGCTGAATTTGTACACTGTGGAGAGCAGTTCAAGCAGCCAGGTCTGAGCCCACGGGAAGTCAGACACTGGACCTCATGATCACCAAAGATGCTTGTGCATGGCTAGTTCTGTTCACAAAACAATCCCTGGAGCTCTGGAACAGTTCATTCTTTTTTTGGGTGCTGGTGACATCAGCTGAACCTTATAAACACCCTAAATGCTAAGACCACTGTCACCCTCAGCACTATCCATTTTTCTATACCAGAGATAGATCTAGGTGACAGGATGGCCTGTTTTACTCTTGAGAACCACATGGGAGGGGTTGTCAGACATCTGACCTACAAGAGGGATAATTCCCATGTGTGTGCACACACACCAGGTGGGGTGAGATGTGTCTACAGGAAGGGGGAAGTCAGAGCTGTTCAGAGACTGACTTCTAGGCACTACAAATCCTGCTGCAGGAGACTGGCTGTCATGCATGGCACAGTGGATTCAAGAGATGAACAGTCACATAAAGGATAAGAAACTACGCTGTAGTAGCCACCTTCCAAAAGCCCCCAATCCAGAGTGTCTGCCAAACTTTCAGAAAGGCCAGGCAAGAGAACTTTCATCAGGACCTGTATCTAAGAAGGTACTCCCTTGAAAAGTCACAAGCAAGGAGCTGATTAAGAGCTCTTGTTCTTACAGAGGAGTTTGGGTTCTTCATAATTCGAGTTCCAAGGATCTCTGATGCCCTCTTTTGACCTCTGTGGGCACTAGGCACAATCAGGGTACATGGATATACATCCAGGCAGAACACTTATACACACAATTTTTTTTTTAAATCTTTAAAAAAACAGTCACAGGCAGAAAGCATCCAGTAGTCACACCACTTGGTTACAGTAGGGCACAAGCAGTTCTGTAGTTTTCTTCTGTATTAGTATCATACTGGACCTTAACCTGGCATGGATCTAGGAGGATTGGATGAGCTACAGGCACAGCAGAATACCATAGTCATACCTGCCATGATGACACCACATTCCTGCCCCACCAGTTCACCAGATTCACGTGTAACCTCACTGATAGGTTTACTGTCCAGGCTTTATACCACTATAGACATTCTTGGCTTCCAGAACAGGTAGACTATCTCAGGGCGTATCACCCAGTGCATAGAAGTGTGTTAGAGTCTGCAATAGGTAGTAACATCTGGGGCCATTAAAATTCTTTCTTCTTTCATGATAGGCAGATGGTACCTCAAGCTTCGCAAACTTAACATACAAGAGCTCACATTCAAGCACAGCAGAGGTCTCTACCACTGGAACATTTAGCATTGCCCTCTCGGAGTGAGGAAGAGTCAGCAGTGGTAAACAGTGCCATGACATGGCACTGCCACAGGGCTCAGGGGTGACAAGGCCCTTCCTGTGTGCAGTCACAACCCACCACATAGTGCAGCACACACGCCTCTGTAGTGTGCTGCTTGGTTCCCCTGGAGGCTTGTCTCACTGCATTTCCCTCAGACCTGCCTGAGAAAATGATGTCCAATGGAGATGTCCAGCGTGGGAGCCACTGCATACTGCACAGGCTCCCCCAGTCATCACATCCTGGGCCCCAGGAAGGCTGCAGCTGTCAGCTGGGTGGACTGGCTATGCTATAGCACTGTGGAATGAGAACAGAGCACAGCCAGCATGCAGTTACATGTCCTCAGGCTTCCAGCTCTAACACCCTGACAAGCGTGGTCGGAGATTCTCTTCTCTTGTGTGTGTAGGTACTTCTTCAGGGAAGGAACGGGAAAAGAGCTTCAGACAACCATTCTGAGAAAAACATGAAAAGTTTTACTAACAAATTCACAGCAGGCACCAGAAGCTACCCGATCTGTACTTCTCAGATGTATGTGGCAGGGGCATAAATGCTCCCGAATGAAGAGTTACAATGACGTATGCACATGAGTACTCCAGCGAACTAAGGATCCATACAGACTCTGCATGCCCTGCTGGTAATGCAGCTTAATTAAGCATCTGAAAAAAGCAACGCTTGTGAAACAAAAAAAATATGCATGGTGTCAGAACAATACATGTCAACAGAGCAGCAGTGAGCGAAGGCTGGTGAGCAGGCTGTACCCCTGCATGGTGTCCCCTGTATACAATTCAGCATGTTGAAACGCAGGGGTGTAGACACACTGTTCTGTTAACCTGACATTTGGAATTTGATCTTTTATTTGTTCTGAGATTGGAGAGCAATAACCTGGAAGGGAATCCCACTTCATTCTCTTGATCACATCAGTGCCTTTATCATGGAACATGTAAGAATCCTGGAAGGACTCTCTTGGTTTCTCCTCTCTAGAACTAATAGCACAAAAGAAAATAAAGACAACATACTGCCCACCTCAGGTCCACAGGCCCCACCTCAAAGTCACTATACAAAGTCTTCAACTACATACACTATGGGGGGGTGTCTCAAACGCCAAACTCAAACCATAATTCAAGTGACAAAACAAATTCTCATCTTTAGTATGCAATAATTACCACGCTTTAGACAACGTCAAACTTGGTCACTCCCTGCGCAGCTCTACGATGTCGGAGCAGAGCACCAGAATAGTCTTGTCTCATTTATTTCAAGGCACTTTCCACCAAAAGGTGCAAAAGGAAATAAAGCTACTTTGCTGCAACAGGAAAAGTCTACATGGAAATCCTTGGAAGGGGGTTTCTAGGCACTAACAGATCGAGGATAAGCAAGCAGTTCTATTTGACATTCTCCAGAGTCACTGTCCTCTGTGGCACTGGCTGACTAGGCTACTGACTGAAGTGTTAGTAAGTTGTCAACTGCTTGTCTTATAGCCACTGAACATTTTATGCATGCAACAAGCCTCCTGTGTATTTGTGGATAGTCCCTACAGAGAGGACCTCCCACATGCAACAAGCCTCCTGTGGATAATCCCCACATAGAAGACCTCCCTTTACTACACATCTCATGCCCTCTAATTTTAAGAACATGTCAAACTGATTAGCTATACAAGTGATCATACACACACACACACACACACACACACACACACACACACACGTATATATTAATAAAAGATACAAATATGCTGGCTATTTGGTGCTTTTTTTTTTGTTTGTTTTAAGATCTTATACATGATATAGCCTAGGCTGGACTGGAAAAACCTTTCCTCGTGAATGACAGGCAAGAGCCACACCTGGCTTTATATGGTGCTTTAAAACAAACACTGTATCTTTATTGATAACCCCCCCAACTTCTGCTTCATTTAATCTATTAGCTACCTGAAAATTAAAACTTCCTTTCTCTCTGCCTTTAAAAAAGTACTGTGTGTGTGTATACCAGTGCTTGCCTGCCTGCCTGCCTATGTGTATGTAGAGGCCAAAGAAGACATCAGATTCCTTGGAACTGAAGTTACAGGAATTTGGGGGATGCCTGACTTATGTGGGTGCTGGACTCCAGTCTTCATGATTATTCATCATGTCTTCTTAACCAAACACCCATCTCTCCAGAAACTCCTCTACCTTATTCTTATCCTTAAACCAGATGGAAAGCTACATCTCACGATGATGTTGAAAGCAGCCTGTCCAGGAGGTAAGGAGAGGTCTGCTCACTCCTTACTCACAGACCAGAAGAGCAGTAGAGGGTCATAACGACAGCAACAACTTCATCCTTGAGTCTGTCACTAACGTGATCCTAAGGTGAATACTGCCAAAGCACCTGCCCTCTGCAGTAGAAGCAGAGAGCTGGAAGACACTTCATTCCATCCCAACAACAACAGAATCCTGTGGGTAAAAAACAGATAGATACTGATGAACAATACTGAAGTAGGGAACAAGATAGAGACAGCTGGTTAACTGTGTTATCTGAGCAGCTCAGGTGCCAGCAAGCTGAACAAACCCAGTCTGATCTAGCTAGTCAGTATGTACAGTATTGCTCAAGAACAAGAGAAACAATCCCAATTCAGTAGTTACTAAGGACACTGTTTATTAGTGGCCAGTACCAGAACTCCTGGATCTAGTGTCAGACAGGCAGGAACTTCCACCAAAGGACAGTACTCACGCCATCTTCACCATCCATATCCATGGATAACTGTGAGGGCTATGCAGACCTGTGCACCCCCATCTCAGCCTTGAGCACCAACCCCCCAATCAGGCCTGGACCACCGCCAAGAATCAACCAAACATACCCATGCCGGGCACAATACATGTATACACTCCTCACTCAGAACACTGACCTACATATGCATACCATACCCTGCAGGTAATGCCTTTCCTGCCTTCTACTGAGCAGATAACAAATAGCTGATGAAAAGCAGGACACACAGCACTGCTGACACCGAAACAAGAGATAAGAAGCGACTTTGCCAAGCTCAAGTTCAATCTGGCTAGCACAAACATCCAGCACTGTGATGCTTGAGACCAGTGATGTTTGAGACCACCCAGTCATCCCATCAACACCAGGCTGCCTTGCTATTTATTATGCAGGGCATTCCCTAGGCACATGGGAATTAAGTCTTTGAGCTATGGGTTAAAGTGCTGCCCCTGTGCCAGGGAAAGGATGCCCAAAACAAGGGCTGTGTGAGATGAGAACTTTTTAGAAGCCATTGTGGTTATTCTGGAAGTAAAAAGAAATCTTTATTTTCAAATAAAGTTACCTACAAGAGATTATTCACTGATCCACTATGAATGAGTCTCTCATCACATACAGCACCAAAAATATATTTTAAAAAATTAAAAAAGAAAAAAAAACCCCTACAGCCTCACCCCTTACACACACATCCCCTCCCAAAGCTACACAGCCCACACCAAAAGGCAAAGAATCAAACCAAACTCAATACCCACACAAAAATTATCTTTGAATTAAGATTTACAAATTTATATATTCTTTCCTATGAAGGAACAAAAGGAGAAATAAAAAGAAAAGAAGGGGTAAGGAAAACCATGAAGGTCTGGTGAGACCTAGGAAGATAAAACCCTGCCTGCCTGCATGTAGCAGGTAGCAAAAGCACATCAGTACTGTTCCTGTGCTGTCCCGTGTGAGGCCTTCAGCTGAGATGATACTCCCTAGCAGTGCAGCACAAGTGGCAAACCAACCACATTTTCTGAACCAGTAATCGGAAGCACGGGGATAGTCAACTGCAGTGTGTGCAGCCCTCAGGATGCAGGGCATGGCAGAGGTGGTGTCTTTCATCATGGGTTTGCCAGTGTTTAAAAAAGGCCATTTTCCCCTTTTAAACAATGGGGGCCAAAGAAAAGTATAGGGATAAAGGTTCTCTACTGCGGTGACAATCTGCCAGTCACAGCCGGAGGAGAAAGAGTCCTGTGCCTACTGACAGTGCTGGGTCCATGCACAGCCTCTACTTGGGCTCCTCAATCACACCTTTGCTGAGGTCTGTCATTTTGGGATATTTTACTTTCTTCTGGTCTAGCTCATTCTGAGCCCAAAGTAGCAGTTTCAGTAATTTTGCCAGCTTGGGTGTGGACTCTCGATTCTCATAATCCAGAACAGCCTGGTTAACTTCACTCCACACCTAGAAAAGAAACATATCCAATAGAGATGGCCACACACACACACACTACTAGCAAGCCTGACAATATGCTTAAGATGTCTTCCACCCCCCCCCCAACCCCCCCAGTGCTAGGGTGAGATCCCAGGTCCTTAAGCACATTAGGGAAGCACTCTATCAATAAGCTATAGTCCAGCCCATCTGGATACCATTCTCACCCAAGAAGCTGGTTACTCACTTAAAAACAAATTAAACATGTAACTATAAGCCACTCCAAGGGCACTAAAAGTTTGTCACCTGAAGGAGCTTACACTTCGGACTTTTTAAACAGTTTTGTGATGACTTTGACATAGAGGAACAGCACAATGTTTATATGAGGCCTTGCAGGCAAGCCTTAAGAGACACCTCAAAAAGATTTTCAAGGGCTCCAACACATGGGGAAAGGAAGACATGGGTCTTAGGAAGCAATGAACTATCATGCTTGTAGCATGTGGAAGGAACAAGAAAACATTTCAGAAGACTTTCCTGATTTTAAGTTGAAAATACTTCTTCGGATACCTGTTTCTAAACTGACAGGAGAAAGATTAAGAGAAGAAAAATTGGTAAAGGGTTTTGGACACTAACAGTCACACTGCAGCTACTCTTACTGTCACAAGATCAAAGGGGACAGATCAGAGGAGCTGCCAGTGTCCTACTGGAGTAACCTAGCCCAGGGCTGTGGGCTTCACCCCAGCACAAGAGCAGAACATATACCATCTTTTCACAAGTCCTCTGAGTGTCCAAGAACCCGGCTCTTCCCTTACTGGCCCTTTACCTTTTGCCTCTGCATCATGTGGAGGAGGTCTCCAAAAGGCGACTCCTCAGGGCTATCGAAGGCCAGCAAGGCCAATGTACGCTCCATTTCTGTGAGGCATTCTCTGCTTTCTTCACCCTGCTCTGCCAGTTGCGTCTGGGCAAATTCCAATGCTGCTTCTGTCTCACGCTGACGGATAAGCTCAATCAAGTGTTGTTGCTAGTCAATAACAAAGACAGACAAGTTTAGCCAGCCTGCACACACCCAGGTAGGTGACATCAGTATGGTCAACAGCAAAGACAACCAAGTTTGGCTGGCACACATCTAGATGAATAACAATAAACATTTGGCTCCAATCAAAAGTATATATTTTATTGGTTGATTGTGTAACTCATAGTGTTAAAGCACTTGTTTAGCATCTAGGCAAGGCCCTGGGTTCCACCCCACCACTGCAAAAGGAAATAAGAAAGGCATCGCAAAAGACCTTTTTTTAAATCATCTCCAAGTTGGTGCATTTCCATTTTAAAAGCAAAAGGAGAGATTGGTGAGAGTGCCACAGTCAAAGTGTTTGTTGTACAAGTATGCCCAGAGGCATACCCCATGTAAGGGTAGAAAGAATGGACTCCTAAGGACTGCCTCTTACTTCCAAATGCACACTATTCATTCTCACTCTCTCCTCTCTTCTCCTCTCCTCCCCCCCTCCACGCACATAGACTTTTTAAGAGTAACTAGTTTCAATAGTCATAAAGCAGCAGCTAGCTCAAAGCCTGTCTCCTCAACAGCACTAAGCAACGTTCAATTAATACACAATGGCCGATTTCTTTCTGAGCCACTGCAAACAAGCCTAATTTGACAAGCATCCACATCAGACTGCTTAAACTCACCTGAAGGTGGAAGTAAAGATACCGGTTTGTGTCTAGGAGCTCTGGGTGGAGGCTGTTTATCAAGGCAATGGCCTCCTGGATCTGACCCTTCAGAATCATCTCCCGAATCTTGATTCGCTCATCAAGTGTTTCTAGGTCCACACTTGGTTCAATCCCAGACTCCATCCGAAATTTCTCTGCTGCTTCCTTAAAGCCCTCTGAAAAGAAAACTATCTTCACTGCTAGGAAAGATAACCAGGAATTAAGGCTTTGTACTTCTAAAGAGCCCAACCATCATTAAATGATCCTACATATAAGTCACTCTTTCTTAGGGACTTGGATTTAATATTTTTGTGACTAACAGTCAAGGCTGTCATTCCTTTGCAGCTATCTGAAAGCCCTAGCCTACCAACCCGAAGGTCACATACTGCTGGCCCATTGTGTTCTGTGACATCACCAAGGAAGGGATTACAGGTCAGTACACCAGAGCAACAGAGGCAATTGCAGGTGAGGCAGGCACCTTGCTGCATCTTCACAGGGCTGCTGTACTCTGGTGCCACTTTACTGACAGAAGCCTGACAGGCTTTACTGACAGGCCAAGATTCCTGTCCACTTTCTAAGAAATTTAGCAGAAAATAACTGGAGAGGTGCAGGAGGATAAAGCGTAAGGGGAGACTTCTCACTGCATGCCTTATGAGAACCGGGCAGGGTAACTGATTCCTTCCTCAGCAAGATCATCAAGTGCCGTTTCCTCTGCATATTCCCAGCCATTTTCTTTCTATGTTTTGAGTTGCGCACACCTAGAAACAGGTCACAATATTTTTCCAAACTGGCCAGAAGATATCATTTATTTGGACTTTAAATATACTCCAAGAAAAAAATTTTTTAAAGTCTTGAGACAGGCTGGCCTAGAATTCATATGCCTCCTGCCTCTGTCTTCTGAGTCAGAAAACTCTTAATGCTCATGAAGGCTTAACTGTGAAACTGTCAAAAGCCAAAAAGGGTGTTGCTTTAGGTCTCAAAGAGCTGGAACAATTATTTTATTGACAGGAAAAATACATATTTTTTAGGGGTTAGGGAAGTTGAGAAAAAGTCTCACATTACTGGCTTTGAATCACAATCCTGCCTCATCTTCCCAAGTGCTGGGATTATGGGTGTGACTTACAACACTTTGGGCTAGAAAAGGCCATCTTTAACAGGTCAGTTTGATTTAAAAATATCAAAGTTAACATAGTGTTTTTATGATTTCTCAGTACAAGCTAACTTAATCATTACACTTCAGAGGTAAAGGGCTACTTGTTTAAAAAGGGAGAGCAATGGTCAACTGTTGGCCCTCACGGCCAGCCTTTACCTGTGACTAGGTAGTTCATGATGAGTCGGTTCATGTCTGCTCGTTGAACATGTAAGTTATTGAGCTTTTCCATCCATTCATCTTTGGTTATTTCATCGGGCTTTTCTGCATAACTCATTATGATTTATTTCTACAGGAAAAAGATACAATAATTGGGGAAGAATTCTATGTCCAGTGTAATCATTCCAAAAAATAAACACAGCAATGTAGTAAGTGTAAAAGTAGGAGAATGCTTTCAATCTTGAAACTGACAAGCAAAAAAGGCCTGAGAAAATTACATGTCTGGGTAGTATCAAGAAGGTCAAAGGTGGAAAGTACGGTCAGTGAAACAGAGTCAGAAGTCTTAGGATGTAGAGACCAAGACATCACACTATGAAGGAGGGGTTTAGGTTTGAAGATAAAAGTATAAAGGGGAATCACTACAGAGTTATATACTAAAAATTCTATGTTATGGTGTAAAAAAGGGCGCAGCAATCAGACAGCAATCAAGATGAAGACGTGTGTGTTAGTGAAGGGTGGAGCTTCCTTCGACTCCTCTGTGGGAAAACTGATAAGGTGGCACATGCCTCCTTCGGTTCAACAATTGTAACTCCTACATCCTAGACCGGTTCCAGCAGGCACCAAAGAGTATGCAGTTCACTGATGCGCTTATTAGCTTAAGACTGCAAAATGTGGACTCCGTGTCCCAAAACTCAACAGGAGACTGAATACAGGAGCCTTGATATACAAATGACACACCCAAACCCGTGGGTGTGTGTGCTCTGAAGATAAGGCTTCAGCTTTTCACACAGATCGAATGGCACAAGCATGCATCACTTACTCAGTCAAACATGCATATTCACACTAAGTGTAAAGGAAGCTGAAACATGTCATCACATCAACAAACAGGTTCAAAAAGACTGTCCTGGCTGGGTGTGTTGGCCACAATTTTAATCCCAGCACTTGTGAGGCAGAGTCAAATGGATCTACAGATCGAGTTCTGGGCCAGCCAGAGTTATATGGTGAGACTCTGCCTCAAAAATAAATAAAAATAAAAAACTTTTTACATTTAAAGTATTTAGACTTTAGAAGGGAATATGGTTGTACATCACTTTAATAAAACAACACTGAATGGGAAAAATAGAACAGATTAAAATAGAAGTCCAAGCGTGACATGAGTTTTGCAAAATCAGATATAAAATAAACTACATGGAATGTCTTTAGCACAAAATACTGTGTGATCTTAAGTAAAGACGTGGAATCACACAAGGATTGTTTCGTGGGGGAGTAGGGCAGGATGGTAGAACGACGGCAGGGGTGGGGGAGGGGCAGTTAGGGTAACTCTAGGAAGAGGAACTGGATCATTTTCTGTTGATCAATAACAGATATACTTCACAGATACTACTTTGTGCACTGCAAAAGACAAGCTAATTTGTTTTAATATGTCATAAAATTGAAAGATGGCTCTGGTTCCTATCGAATGGAAAGAGCTAAGCAGTCCAACAAAGAGATATCTAGCGCTGGTATAGTGGACAGCAGAAGAGAAGACAAGATCAAGCTTTGGCCCCAAATCAATGGAAGCTGTTGCTGGACTGAATATGAAGGTACTAAGAGAAAGGAAAGAAACACGGACAACCAGACTGGTGGTTTCAAGTGTCAGGCCTTAGAAATGAGAGCAGGACAACGTGGGAGAGACGCAAGTAAAACAGGTTGGAGGAGCACGGCAAGTCTGGTGCAGAGGACTCTGAGAGGCAGTTAGAGAGGTGTGGTAGGCCTCCGGATTACAGGTCCTGGGACCCACGCTAGAAACAGTAATTTTGGAAACACACACATACATATACTAGGGGGGGAAGGTATTTAAGCAAGTTTTTTTTTTTTTTTTAAGATCTAAGATAGTAAGATTCCAAAGCCCACTTGCGGAGAATTTGCATAGTGAATGTTAGAGGGACTTCGAATTTGGGACATGCCAGGACTTCTAGCTCTGGCAGACTTGAAGATCCCAACAGCCTAAAAGGCAGTAGCAGTAGGGGGAGGTGGGAATTGGAAACTAAACGGGGCTGATGCCTCTCCATGCCACAGGATAACAGCAGAATTCACCGATTCAACTGGTATTCATAAGCTAAACATCAGTCTGGAAAAACGTTTGTCAAGAAGGTCCTCGCCTCTCGATTACCACTCGGCGCCGGGAAAGGTTACCAAGCAAGGCTGAGGACAGAGACAGGGGCTAGTGGTTCTGCAGGACTCAGTGGTCCCAAAATTCAGCGATTACACAGTGGACGGGGATGCATCCTACGCCCGGAGGATGACTTTTAAAGCAGTAACTGCGTCTTCACCTTTCGCTGTCCCCTTCACTGCGCCTTTAATCGCAGAGATGTGCGAACATTTGCAGTAACTATTCCTTTCCCGGCAGCACCCGACTAACAGCGCGGCCTCCAGACCTCCCGCTCCGGGGCCGGGCCGTGGAGGGCAGGATTGACCGCCATGATCTGCGCTCTCGCCTCGGGCTTTTCGGGTAGCCTGGGCAGGGCAGCCTGGCGGGCACAGGGCCCCCGACCTCTGACCTCCGCGCCTCGGCCCACCCCGGAGCCCCGCGGAGACGCTCGGCACGGCCGTCAGGGGCCGCTGCGGCCATCTTACCGTGCGGATCCCGCCTCCCGTGCGACAGGGTCTGGGTGGCGGCTCCGCGGCCGCTCCCGGGGCCGGGGAGGGGCGGCAGAGACGGCGGGAGATAGAGGAGGAGGCGGAGGCGGAGGCAGCGGCGGAGGCGGGGGCGGGGCGCGAAGCAGAGGTAGATACACCGGCGTCGGCCCCCCTCAGACACCTCTCGCGAGATCGTAAGATCTCGAGATGAGAACTGACAACCAATGGAATCCTCTCGCGAATCTGCTGGGTGGGCGGTCACCGGAAACTAGAGTCTCGACTTCCGTTCTTGCGCATAACTCTACGGCGGTGCCCTAGCTCTACGGGTTGGCGCGAGAGTCAAAAGGCTACTATCGCTTCTGCGCAAGATGGCTTCTGCGGGGGCTTTCGCGTACTGAGTGCTAGCGCGGGGATGGAGACGTGTAGACTGAGTTCGAAATGAAGGTCCCAGCTCTTTTCTTGTTTTTTTTTTTTTTTTTTTTTGTGTGTGTATGTTTGCGTGTGTGAAGTGGGGGCGAGGAATAGGTGTGTGTGAACACTGGAGTGCGCGAGATAAGAAGGGCATTCTCTGGCCTGTAGTCCGCCAGGCTCTAGTCCCAAAGACAAGGCCTCTGGACGTGAGCGAGCTCCTAGGATTTATTCTGGGAACGTCGTAATCGAGGCCAGATCAGCGTCAGGACAGCCCTACCTAGAGCGATCCATGTGGCCACGCTCGAGAGCGGACTGCGTTTCTGGGCACTCAAGAAGGTGACTCCCTAGTGCTGGGGTTCTCAGGGAATGGAGCATGCACGGAAGTTAATCCCTGCTTCTGAGGCAGTCATGGAAGCAGAGCGGACTCATGCTTCAGAAGCGTTCACAACTGAGGAGGACTCCTCCAGGCTGCCGAGGGTACTCCCTACTTCTGGGCGATTACTGAGAGTGTCTTTATTCTTAGCGGCGTACGGTGAGGACCCATCCTGAACTCCGGCGGAGGGGATTCCTGCCGCGAGAGAAGGGACCCCCTATCCCTCTCATCCCCGAATCCTGTTTACCCTTTGCCTTGAGATAATTTAGAGATTTCAGTAAGGGGTTGGAGACCGGTAGTTAGGGGTTGGGGGGTGGTAGTCGGAGGCCCTCTAAAACTGCCGGGTTGTAACGGTGAAATGGGCATTTGCATATTTATGTGTTTATTGTCTACCGAAGGAGAATGCAAATTCAGTCATTGTAATGTAAAGAAATTCTGGAAGGAATGTTGGGCAGTCTGCGCTGAGATAGTTGAGTGTGCTTGCTTAAAAATTAACTTCGTCTAGGGTAAAGCAACTTCTCATTGAGCCACTGAAATTAAGGGCAGTTTAGCAGATCTGTCGGACACAATGGCCACAGTGGGTACACGCGGTAAATCTGCAAGTCCATAGCTCTAACCAAAGCTGTTTAGGTTGGTATTCACGCGCTCACTTTATTAACTCGGGATATCAGTTCAAAAGTGTGCAAGGGAAGAGGCCAGTATCTTAAGGAGAGAGGCGTTAACTCAGAATTTCAGTGCCTCTGGATGATGGATTAGCAGCCCTGCTAGTGCTGTAGTCTTTTCTACAAACTAGCTCTTGTTTAGGGCTCCTCAGCCGCTTAACTTTGAGCTCAGCCTCTTTGCTGCTTGCACGACGTGTCCTTTACCATCGAGTCTTTTCCTAACATTGTCACATACGTCCTCTTGAAATACTTTTTCTCCTACATCCTGACTTTCGTGTAAGACGTTTCGTTTGTCAGTTAATTGACCTTCCTGCTTCAGTCACCCTTACTCCTGTTGTTCTCTTTGGGCTGTACTGTGTGAAATGCTTCTCTCAGCTTCTTGGGCTTCCCTGGGAAGTTTCACTAAATACCAGCAAGTTTTGTCTTTTCCTTTTGGTCAGATGATAATTTTTATTTTTTGAGTTTTCCAGATAACTTTTCTCTGTGTAGCACAAATGTTAATAGTACGCCCCACAGGCACACCTAGAGACAAGTGGATCTCTGTTCATTCCAGGTCAACCGGGGCTATGTAGGGAGACCCTGTTTTTTAAAAGTGTGTTCCATCATGCCCAGCTCAGGTGATCTTGTAAGCTAGGGATTCCTAAAGTTTCCACCTACAACCACTTTATGTATAAGGATTTTTTTTTTTGGTACTACTCTAGGTATATGGATATATATAAAATAGATGTACAAATCAAGTATTAATGACAACTTAATTTCATAACGGCCTTCTATAAATACAATTTTACCATTAAGGACAAAAGCAAAGGTTCATTCTAATGAGATTCGTATGCTTGCTTATTTTTACATTAAGTGTTAGCCCTGGGGCTGGAGAAGTGATGGCTCAGAGGACTGAGTTTAAATGACCTGAGTCAGGCAGCTCACAGCTACCTGTAACTCCAGTTTCTGGAGATCTGATATCGCTGGTCTCTGGGCACTTATGTGCACATAAACAAAAATAAATCTTTGGGGTTTTCTGTTGTTGTTTTGTTTTGAGATAGGATCTCACTATGTAGCTCTGGCTGTCCTGGAACTCACTATGTAGACCAGACTAGCTTTTAAGTCACAGAGAGCCTCTTGGCTCTGCCTCTTGAGTGCTGGATTAAAGATGTGTGCCACCGTGCCTGACAAAATCTTAAATTTTTTTTTTTTTGGCTGGATGAGGTGGCACAAGCCTTTAGTCTGAGTATTTGAGTTCAAGGATAACCTGATCTATATAGTTCCAGGTCATTCTGAATGAATTCTTTTCTAAGATTTATTTTATTTTTTGTGTATTCGAATGTCGGTCTGAAGGCCAGAAGAGGATGTCAGAACCCCTGGAACAGAGTTTATAAGCGATTGCGGGCCCTCTGACTCCTGCATGAATGCTAAGAACCAAACTCCATTTCTGAAAGAACAGTAAATGGTATGAGCCAGTCCAGCATGAAATTTTATTTTTTGAAAGACAAGGACTTCTTTGTGTATGCTGGCTGCACCTTTATATGTAGGCAAGAGTGACAGTGAGTTTAGGGTCTCCTGCTCTATTTTATGGTGTGATTGCAGGCTCACACATAATGAATGCTAAGTACTTGTGGTGATGGGGATTGAACTCAGAGTGTGGTACATACTAAGCAAGAGCCCACCAGATAGCTAACTACATCCCAGTCTTGGTCTTTTTATTAATTGGCATAGCTCAAGTCAGTAATTCCAACAGCAATTTTTGAAATTAATGTTCTAGCACCATCCAAAGATTACTAATTTGACACTCTCATGCTGTAGGGGAGTTTTTAAAATTAAGCAATTATGTTTTCTTTCTTTCAGTCTCACTTGTTTAGAGCAGGCTAGCCTCAAACTCAGAAATCTACCTGCCTCTCTGCCTCCCAAGTGTTGGAATTAAAGGTGCGTACCACTGCACCTGGCTTCTATTATATTTAAGTGCATACACTTTGTACAGTAAAAATATTGCAGTTCATAACATGCTGTAGTCTTAAATATAATTAAGGTGCATTTGTTGGTGTTTTCTGTTATGTAAAATGAGCATGTTTTATTTTCAAAACCAAGACTGCAGGGCCCAGAGAAATTGCTCAGCACTTCTTGCCCTTGATAAGGAATTTGACTTCCAGCTCTAACACGTGGTGGCTCACTACCACCTGTAATTCAGCTTCAAGGGATCTGATGCCCTCTCCTGAACTCTACAGGCATCCATACACATGTGCACAGACACATGTAACATAAAAGAACCAAGACAGCAGCTGATCAGTACATCATGGGTAAACCCTGCTAGAAACACCTCAGATTCATTATATGTTTAATTTTGATTTGTTACATGTTTAGAATCTATAGGTATGACCCCCCCCATTTCAGTTATAGACCCCCATATAGGGTTGCAGCTTGAGAAGTAGTTCTGGAACTGGAGAGGTAGCTCAGTAGTTAAGGCCATTCCTGCTCTTAGAGGACTCTGGCCCAGCTCTCAATGCTCACTTGGAGTTATTTCCTCCAACTCCAGTTTCGGGGGATCGGGCTCCCTCTTGCCTCCATGAGCACCTTGCCTGTACATAATGGTACACATACATACAGATACAGGCAAAACATCCAAACACATAAGCATAGTAATGCATGTCTTTAATCCTAGCACTCGAGGTAGAGGAGATGGGATCAGCCTGATCTACACAGTGAGTTTCAGGACAGCCAGGGTTATGTAGCGAGAAAGGTATCTCAGTGTTTCAAAGAAAAAAAGGAGTCCTAAACTATTTTCCTTGGCTTTCAACAATGTACCCCAAATTGCCAGTACTTTATATCATGAATTCCCTAAAAACAAGGTTTACTGTGATATGGAGATGGCTCTGTCAGTAAAATGTTCAAGCAAAGGGACCCGAGGTTGGTCCCTCTGTACAAAAGACTAATACTCTGACTTCTGTCATCCCAGTGCTGGCAGGCAGACACGAGGACCCCTGGGACTTTTAGCAAGCCCATGTCTCTGAACTGGTGAGCTCCAGATTCAATGAGAGGTCATTCTCAAAAATAAGAGATTGAGGAGGACACCTGCCCAGCATTGACCTCCAGCCTCTACCTGCCTGAGTACAAATGTGCAACTTCACATACACACATGAATGAATGAACACATACAAAGAATAGTAACATTCTTATGTCTTGGGCATCTCAGTTAATAAAAGTGTCTGGTACATTTTAGGTACTTTACATGACTCTGTTGACCAGGGAATAAATGAATGTACTGTGCCAAGGCCCTTCCCCAGTGTGAATACTAGCAAAGGGAGAAGTCAGCTCATTTGTGGTTTTTCTTTGTGTGTGGGTGAGTACGCACCCAGGAGTGCATAAAGGCCAGAGGAGATGGCCTGTGTTCTCTTACTCTGCCTTATTTCTTCAGGACAAGGCCTCACTAGACTGTACACTAAGCCAGTAGCCAGCAAGCTCCAGCAATCCTGTCTGCCTGTCACCACCACCCACACAGCACCGAGGTTACAGGCATGTGCTTGTGCCTGCCCCTGCTTGAGTGTCAGATGCTCTTACCCACTGAGCCATCCCATCCCCATGAGCCAATTTTTGTGTTAAGCTTTGAAATGCATTTGAGTTTGTGGTACACATGGGAAAGTCCCAGGGACCAGGTGAAAAGGTCGATCCAGATTGAGTAGAGGTGGGTTTTTACATTCTGTGTGGGGCAGAGCCTGT